ATCATCTTTGAGATTTACATCTTTCAAAAATGATACAAAGCAGCCAAATCGCTTTTCCATTGCTTCAATCGCTTTGATTTGGCTAGCCCAGCGAATGTCAGAGTAACCTTTAAGCTCAACAGGTTTATTAACCGGATACATGTCATTCCGGTATTTGATCCACCTGGCATGTACATCTGAACCAATGAGAAAGACATAGTTCACTTTCAATGTTGAGAAAAAAATCAGCTACAGGAATGACTGATTTGACTGCATCCACAATGACAAAGTTCAACTTATGAGCAAGGCAATGTATATATATAGAGAGAGAGCCTGTGGCACGATCTCTTTTATTCCTTGCTGAACACCACTGCACTTGCCACTCATTACACCGTCATACCCCCCGAGATATAAAAGTTCGTATATCTATTCTACTTGATTTCAGCTCCTCCTGGATGTATGTACATAAACTTTTTTGCTGTCAGATCCTCTGAAACCAATACATTCTTCATGGATTTCTCCTTCGAAGAAATACCTAATAACAATTGATAATTGCTCTCTTTTTAACTAATCTTCGGATTCATCAACCAAAATGGGGAATAGCTTTGCATTTGCTTCTTCTTCCCTTATTTCGTCTAAAATGATATCTGACATAATTTCAAGCAGCGCATTTTGTACTGTGTGATGAAATATCGCATTAGATGGTCTTTTTGTAGGTTGAATCGCAATGTTTCTGAATATTTTTTTGCAACAGATTCAATATTTCTAGGAAATTGCCTTTACTATCCTCATCATTTGTCTCTCTATATCCCCTTTGCGCAATATTTTGGACCTCTGTTAATCTGAGGGTATCAGCAATAGTATTGATGTATTCACGATTCTTTGTCACAGTTTCTTTATGCTGTTCATTAATTAGATGTGCTACTGTACTTTTTCGCTGTTTTGTATGCAGTATAGCTGGCTGTACAATCAACGTGTTGCTCTGATTTTTTGTCCTTAAGCAGTCGGTTATTCTTACATGAATCGCTTGTACAATTTTTCCAATTGTTCAAGCCGTCTGATACGAGGGCACTCTCTTCACTTGCTCGTGCTGTAAAAAGTGTCTACAAACAAAGCAATAAATTTTGTCCTCACAGACAGAATATTCGATTCATTCATGCTCCACACACCAATCTGGATTAAAGCTTCGACCATGCGATTTTTGGAAGTTTGCTTTGCTTGCCAGCGATGCACAAGGTTGTTTTAGTCCATCATCCGGACCCGATATGCTCTTTGAGGATCTTGTGGCGGCTTGTTCCAACTCTGCTTTATTTCTGTAGGAATCTGGCGGATCAGTTATTGTCTGAAACAATATCAAGATACGTTTTCATGTAAAGATGGCTAAATGTGGAATTAGTCCAGATTCTGTTTCCCTCGCCATTTTCAGTGTTCGGATTTCCGTCCAATATGCCCCACCCAAACACCAAACCTATTTTGTGAATTTTAATTGAAAGCAGTCTTAGCAGATCTCTAGAGTTGATATGAAAAAGCATCTGACAGCCTGACACTACCATTTTGGTTAGATATGTATTGTATCTGATCTAAGCGACCGTCCATATTTCAAATATTTGAAAGAGGCATCATTCAAGCATGTGACAAAATTTCATATATCTTAATATTTGTAGGCTATTAAATTTTTTAATCATATGTATTATAACATACACATCAGGAGAAATATTTTTTAAGCACTTTGATAAAACAGAACACCTGTTTTGTGTGTGAATAAAGGTCAGTCGGTCTCTGTACATACATATATTCATGTATATACACTATAATTAAACTTCAGATTGCAATAGATTATTGCTATAATTCTACCTAAATACAGCTGGTATAAATAAACCTGCCTATATGATGACTATAATCATACCATTGGTTAAGAATATGCGAAATTTAATAATTTATATATGAATATTTTGATTAGGCCTATATATGTGAGTTTGCTAATTCTGTTTGTTTGTTTGTTATGGATTTCGCGCAAAGCTACACGAGGGCTATCTGCGCTAGCCGTCCCTAATTGAGCAGTTTAAGACTAGAGGGAAGGCAGCTAGTCATCACCACCCACCGCCAACTCTTGGGCTACTCTTTTACCAACGAATAGTGGGATTGACCGTCACATTATAACGCCCCCACGGCTGAAAGGGCGAGCATGTTTGGTGTGACGGGGATTCGAACCCGAGACCCACAGATTGCGAGTCGAGCGCCCTAACCACCTGGCCTTGCTAATTCTAAACCGGAAGCTGGAAGGGTCAATATATGGCAAAAATCTATGGCATCCACTATATGAATACCTGCCTCAAAAACATGATTATTTATGAAAGATTTTCCGGAAAACTTTGCACGTGGATAGAAAATGCTTATAGTAACATTGATAAATGATTTCTAGCCCCGGTTTTTAATCGTCGGGGCAAAATTTTGGAATTTAGCGGAAGTTTGCATGTTGTCACTGATTTTTGTGATCATTTTGCATTGTTTTCGCACAATAAAGACATCCGAGGTCACAGAAATGCTTGCAAACATGAGTGCGTGTTGATAAAAATATTTAAACACAATATTTGTTCTATAACAGTTATTTTTACATGCTTATTTACATGCGAGTATACCGGGATTTCCTTTGTTTATACCTCCGATTTCGTCTGTTAGCACACCCGTTTCACCATAAACCTCTAGTTTGCGAAATCGCGCATACAA